ACACGGACAAAGGAGAAGTAGGAGTGAATTTGAATGATCATTGCTTTTCCCCTCTTATACCCGAGATAGCAAAGTATTGTTTGATTTACGCCTTTCCCTTTTTATTCCCTTCCTAACGTTTGCCAAATCGTGTACCCCAAACCCTTGCTTTTAAATCCTAATATTTGAAACAAACTCACAGAAAAATCTGTTCTGAAAAATCAAAGATAGAGTTTATTAACAAAACATTCAAAATGTGGGGGTCTTATTTCACTACTCCATCCACACACACATGCACTCAGGAAATCAGAACAGGAGAGCAGATAGGTTACAAATTACAAGCTTTGGTAAATCCACCAAAATCAGTTCAGGTGAGTTACAAGTCAGTGTACAGTATTAGTTTCTTTAGTGAACTGAGCCAAGTAAGTTTCTTCCTTGCAGGCGGTGGGCTTCTTTACAGCTAGCAATTTGGAGACGGAGATAAAGGTTCAAGGCAGACTGCTAACTCAGCCTGGAGCTCACATTCCTTCTGGAGGTCAAAGAGCAACTGACTTAGAATTGCAGAATGACATATTTAAACATCTCAACCAGTCCCTATTTCAGCCTTCTGCCAAGGATAGGTATTTGAAGTGCTGTTGGCCCATCTTGATGAGCTATTTGGAAGGTTGTTAACTTCCTACCTTTACTTCACACCCTGTTAGGATTTTAATTGTGGGGTGATAAGGTAACTGTAAAAATATTAGAGCTCATTTTACCCTAAGTCATGAAGTTTTCCAATGTCTGGAGCTAGTTGGAAACAGACAGTTCATCCCTAGTCCTTTTGTTTCAGTGTTAGCTGGAACACAATACAGGCGTTCAAAAGCCTTTAGAATTTTTATTCCTTCATGAGATGAGGGCATGACTAGCTAGTCCAGCATTTGTTGCCCATCCCTAATTGCCCAGGGGGCAGTTAAGAGTCAACGACATTGCTGAGGGTTTGCAGTCACATGCAGACCAGACCAGGTAAAGATGTAGTTTCCTCCCTAAAGGGACATTAATGAACCAGATGGGCTTTTCCCAATAATCAATTAATGGCTTCATGGTCATCTTTAGAATTTTAATTCCCCAATTTTTATTGAATTCACCTTCCACCATCTGCTGTGGTGGTATTTGAACCTACGTCCTCAGAACTTACCTGGGTCTCTGGATTAACAGTCCAGCAATAATACCGCTAGACCATCACCTCCAAAAACAATCATGTGACCAACTTCAGCCATATGAGTCCAGAAAGGTTACCTAGCTTTTAAAAGAAATAGAATGTAAACAAAATCTATTGAAGAGTTTAGTGTTTTGTTTGGAATTTTTCTTCATAACCTCTGGTCATGACATTTCTTTTTTCTCTCTCTCCCTGTGATACCTTGCTGCTAGGCACAGCACAATTTTTCTCTCTTCCATGCAGTCTTTTTGTCTAAAGCATTGAACTATTCACCTCAACAGTTTTGTTTGAAAACCTCACTAAATGTTATAGCTGTAGTCACAGGGATCTACACTACAGAAAAAGGCCCTTTGGCCAGTCGTGTCCATACCAGTCAAAAACAACCACAACTATTCTCAGAGATAGCAAGATCTGCAGATGCTGGAATCAGAGATAACACAGTGTGGAGCTGGAGGAACACAGCAGACCAGGCAGCATCAGAGGAGCAGGAAAGTTGACATTTCAGGTTGGGACCCTTCTTCAGAAATGTCCCGCCCCAAAAGATCCACTTTCCTGCTCCTCACTTAACTATGCTTATCCCATTTTCCAGTGTTTGACCAATAGCCTTGTATGACTTGGCATTGCAAGTGCACGTTTATATACTCCTTAAATATTATGAGTGTTTCTGCCTCTACCACCCTTACAGGCAATAAGTTCCTGATTCCTGCCATCCTCTGGGTGAAAAAGAATCTTGCCTCACACTCCTCTAAACCTTCTGCTCTTTACCTTAAACCTATGCTCCACCCCTCCCAACCCTCGGTTATTGATTCCTCTATCAAGAGGAAATGTTTCTTCCTGTCTACCCTACGCTTTTTTCTAGGAAGATGTGGCATCACTCACAGAACTCAAAAATTGAACTTAAACTGTGTGTTGAATTTTCTCACACCTTGGCTAAGGATTAATTTTGGGGAGTTTCATGGAGGATTTCTCTCCATAAGCCCTAGTGAATTTCATGTGTAGTTTTACACTGCTCACTTCCATAAGTATGCACCAGGCTCTTATTTCATAGAATTCCTATAGTGTGGAAACAGGCCCTTCGGCCCAACAAGTCCATACTGACCCTCAGAGCATCCCACGCAGACCCATGCCCCTATAACCCACATAATCGACACATCCCTGAACACTATGGGCAATTTAGCATGGCCAATCCACCTATCCTGCACATCTTTGGACTGTGGGAGGAAACCAGAGCACCCAGAGGAAACCATGCAGACACAGGGAGAATGTGCAAACTCCACACAGACAGCCACCCAGGGGTGGAATTGAACCCAGGTTGCTGGTGCTGTGAAGCAGCAGTGCTAACCACTGAGCCACCGTGCTGCCAATATGAAACCTGGGCTCGTCTGAGAGTTGAATTCGGGACCTCTCGCATGCCAACACTGTGCAGTACCCTAACTGAGAATCACACCCCTAGACTGAAGAACTGTCCCATGCTGCCTTGTGCTCAGAGTAGTGGGAATGCTTGCTGGTGTCAGGTCCTTCAGGTGTTTAAGGCATCTGCAACATATTTAAATTCCAGTTGCACACAATTTCAAACACAACAAGCCAGGAATTCTCCCTCATAGCTCCGGTGGGTGAGGATTTCATTAGGAGATGGTCAATAGAGGCAAATTGGCACCCAGTTTGTGGATCAGCTCCTGGGGATCCTGGTGGACTGACTGATGAACAGGAGCACCGTTATCTTTCCCCAATGCTGCCAACACCCACATCCTGCCAGCCTGATTCTTTTGGTGTGATGTCCACTGTCAGGAGGAAACGCAGGGTGGCGGTTATTGACCTGTGTGCTGCAAAGGTTAATTGTTACCATTTCCTCCCTGCTATCACTTCCCTTCTCACTCTCTGTGCTCCTGTATCCATTTGCCACCAAATCTCATGGTGCACCACTCTCATCATTGCATGCAGCATCTGCACTCAATGGCTGTCATGTGCTAAGCTGCTAAGCCCTGTTGCCCTCCGCACTACCACTCACTTACTCCAGTCCTGTCCTCACCAACTGTCCTAACCCTGCACTAGCATTAACAGATATGTCTTTCACTTTCATCTCACTGAATCCCTGCCTTTGTCACATTGCAGGAGGAAATAACCTACAATGGGCTTAAAGGGTCAAGATGGTCTGTGGGATGCTCAACATTCATCTCCTCACCACAAACAAGGATAGAAACCTTGAATGCAGCCACAACAGTTTTCCATAGTCCTCAATACATTGGGATATGGAGACATCTGACAAGCAGGGCCATGCAATGCCTCTATATGAACCTTTCACTTAGCATACCTTATTTGGATGTATACTGCATAAGCCGTGTTCACCTTCCCCACCCCTCCACAGCACCCTCCCCCCCCTCCCCACATGACCCAAGAAAGGCAGTACATTATATAAGAGTAAGTACTATATACTTACAGTTCGGAGGAGGTTATTGGGTTTGGATGTGAATGGGGAATTTGCAACACAAACAGATCAGCCATGAACTTATTGAATAGTGGAGCATTCTCGAGAATTTAAACAGCCTACATCTGGTCTGAATTCATATATTTCTTGGTCCAACCTTTGTTCTTTGACAACGTGATTGATACAGTGGGCTCAGAGCTGCCCATACATTATTCTTGTGATGTAATGTTGTAAGCATAAGGCAGGAACACTCACATCACTTTTAACACATCTAACCCACAGTAAGTACACATGGATCACATCTCTCATTCCTCAAATTTATTTTCTGAACATCAAAGGAGATGTTTGCCATGGCTGTCACCAATGTGCCTTCAAAGGAGAATGCTGAAAAATTTATATTGAAATATTACTTTCAAAACAAGTGGCATTGTAGTTGAGTCGTAAAGTAGCATTTGTTTTGAAAGTTATATACAAAGTAAAATTTTCAACATCCTCCTTCGAAGGCATTTTGGTGACATGGGAAACACTTGTTATAAGGCTTAGAAAATAAATTTAACCTACCAGGTGTTGCTGTCATCTAGCTAGACGTGGTTCAACTACTCTTTCTGCTACCCACCGCACGGTTCTCAATAGAAAAGACCTCTGCAGTTCTGAGCAACGACAGAAATATTGACATCTTTTTCCGGATGTTGTGAAAGTTATTTTTGCTCTTGCAATTTCAAGCACCTCCCGCATTTGTCTTATGGTGTGCATACGGAATTGTTAAGCATACATTTTAGCGTCCACATTACAAAGGCCTCTATTTTCTTCTACAGATGTTTATTTATTATTCAGGTTTTCAGAAGCGGATAGAATGTAATGAATTATGATTGGATTTCCTTGTTACAAGTTTCAGATTTCGTGCTGATATAAAATGCACAAACAGTGAATCAAGTCTGTACGGTTTTGAGCTAAATATTTTTTTTCTAGCAATTTGTTTCAGGTTATTGAATGATAATAAGGCTTCGTGATATGTTTAAAATTATAGAAGAACTCAAGTTAATTTCATAGTCGGGGAAAAAAAAATCCACTGCGATAAGCCAGGACTTAGTCTTCAACCACGAAGTTTATTCCGCCTGGAAGCAACTGTAGGTTTTATAAATGACACAAAAATCTGCTCCCACTTTCCCACTCTCGGTGTAACATTGCTCTTAAGGACACATTGTAGCATCGCTGAACTCCTCTCACGCAGCGTGCAGCGGCTGCACACTGACTGACCGGTCTATTTTCCAATGATTGGACAATGCCGGTAATTGACAGCCCTGCTGATCCTATCAGCCTTTCAGTGGCTGGCCTGACCTTCAATGATTGGACAATACTGGTGATTGACAGCAGGACCCACCGTTCCCCGCGGTGAATGACTGGTCCTCCCACCTTTCCAGGGCTGATAGAGGAAATGTCCTTTTAAAGCCGGAGCGTTCGCAAATGTAGGAATTCTTCTGCTGTGACTGAGTGTTTCCGGTTGGGTGTGAGCTTGCTTTTGGAGGATTCTCCGAGAAAGTTTCAGGTAAAAGAAAAGTTGCAGTTTTACGGACGTTTTGTGTTTTTCAGGACGGGTGTCTAATAGATGGCGGATCAAAGTTAGAGCAAAATTGGATGTTTCCAACTGAGTCAGGGTTATAAAGGAAATGCATCGCTCGAGGCCCTGGTTTCTGTGAGCATCTGAAGTTGTTTTCACTGAAATGTGAAAACTTTTGATTACTTGAGATCACGACTTTTTTTTTAAATGTAGCAGGATACTACTGTAAACTGTATATTTCATTTCACTGTAGAAAATGTCGAAATCATTGAAAAAAATAGTGGAAGAATGCAAGGAAAAGAATCAGACAGAATTGGATTTGAGTGACAGAGGAATCTCTAATATGCTGGATATTTCAGGACTGTGTAAGTGCCGCACTTTTTAAATCACTCTTCTGCATGGTATAACGCCTTGATCAACAAACCGTAGCTTATTTCTTTAATATCTAAAGCCAACCTCGAACATTTTGTGATAACACAGTGTGGAGCTGGAGGAACACAACAGGCCGAACAGGAAAGTTGACGTTTCGGGTCTTCAGAAATGGGAAGGAAGCTCAGAAATAAATAGAAAGGATGATGATAGGTGAGTGCAGGTAGGGAGTGGCGGGGATTGCAGAAAACAAACCTCCTACATCAGACAGGGGTTCACCTGCACATTCGTCAACTTGGTCTCTACTGCATCCGCTGCTCCTGATGTGGCCTCCTCCACATCGATGAGACCAAGCGGAGACTCAGAGACCATTTTATAGAGCATGCGCGCTTTGTACGCAAAAAATGACAACACCTTCCTGTGACCAAACATTTTAACATGACATGTCCATCCTGGGCCTCCTCCAGTGTCCTAATGACGCCACCCACAAATTGAACGAGCAGCACCTCATATTTTGCCTCGGGAGCCCACAGCCCGATGGCCTAAACGTGGACTTCACCAGTTTTAAAATTTCCCCCCCACCCCGGCCTCATCCCATGTCCAACCCTCCCCCTCATCCCCGCCTCCTTGACCTGACACAACCTGTCCATCTTCTCTCCCTCCTATCTGCCCCTCCCACCTCACTGACCAATCCCCACCACTCCCTACCTGCACTCACCTGTCACCATCCCACCTACCTTCCCCAGCCGGACCCCTCCTCTCTATTTATTGCTGAGCTCCCATCCCCCTCTCCATTTCTGAAGAAGGGTCCTGATTTGAAACGTCAACTTTCCTGCTCCTCTGATCCTGCCTGGCCTGCTGTGTTTCTCCAGTTCCACACTTTTTGTTATCTCTGACTCCAGCATCTGCAGCTCTTGGTATCTTCATTTTTTTGTGGCTTGGTAATGGAGAGTTATTAAATGTTACGTTGGGGGCCCCGGTGAGATAAGAAACAAGTGTTAGGCCAGAAATTTGGTGCAGAGGGGCAAGGAGGTGCTGTTTCCTTTTATGCATCGTCAATGTTCTGCTTTTCTAAGGTAAGAGACTTGCTACTCACTGAATAAATTGTTAGTTTGACTAGTTAAGTAAATGTGGTTAGATAATCTTGGCAGGAGTGGTGGTGATTTGTAACTGCAGAATCTGTGTATGTGTAGAAGTCCTGGATGACCGTAATCTGTGGTCAGACTCTCTGGCTTGAACAACTTTGGCTCAGTGTTGCTGAGAGTCTGTGTTGTGTCCGTTCTGAAGCATCAGCTAGGGTAGAGTTACCTGCATACTTTTTTCCAAGATGTGGTCACCTACCTTGAGACTAGGTGACTTCTTTGCTCAAAGGAAAACAACTCCTGCCTATTGAGACAACAAGGTGCAGGGCTGGATGAACACAGCAGGCCAAGCAGCATCATAGGAGCAGGAAGGCTGATGTTTCGGGCCTAGACCCTTCATCAGAAATGGGGGAGGGGAAGGGGGTCCTGAAATAAATAGGGAGAGAGTGGGAGGCGGATAGGTGGAGAGGAAACATACAGGTCGAAGAGGCGGGGATGGAGCCAGTAAAGGTGAGTGTAGGTGGGGAGTTAGGGAAGGGATAGGTCAGTCCAGGGAGGACGGACAGGTCAAGGGGGCGGGATGAGGTTAGTAGGTAGGAGAGGGAGGTGCGGCTTGAGGTGGGAGGAGGGGATAGGTGGGAGGAAGAACAGGTTAGGGAGGCGGGGACGAGCTGGACTGGTTTTGGGATGTGGTAGGGGGAGGGGAGATTTTGAAGCTTGTGAAATCCACATTGATACCATTGGGCTGCAGGGTTCCCAAGCGGAATATGAGTTGCTGTTCCTGCAACCTTCGGGTGGCATCGTTGTGGCACTGCAGGAGGCCCAGGATGGACATGTCGTCTGAGGAATGGGAGGGGGAGTTGAAATGGTTCGCGACTGGGAGGTGCAGTTGTTTAGTGCGAACCGAGTGTAGGTGTTCTGCAAAGCAGTCCCCGAGCTTCCGCTTGGCTTCCCCGATGTAGAGGAAGCCACACCGGGTACAGCGGATGCAGTATACCACATTGGCAGATGTGCAGGTGAACATCTGCTTGATGTGGAAAGTCTTCTTGGGGCCTGGGATGGGGGTGAGGGAGGAGGTATGGGGGCAGGTGTAGCACTTCCTGCGGTTGCAGGGAAAAGTGCCGGGTGTGGTGGGGCTGGAGGGGAGTGTGGAGCGGACAAGGGAGTCACGGAGAGAGTGGTCCCTCCGGAAAGCAGATAAGGGTGGGGAGGGAAAGATGTCTTTGGTGGTGGGGTCGGATTGCAGATGGCGGAAGTGTCGGAGGATGATGTGTTGGATCCGGAGGTTGGTGGGGTGGTACGTGAGGACGAGGGGGATTCTTTTTTGGTTCTTATTGCGTGGACGGGGTTTGAGGGATGAGTTGCAGGAGATGTGGGAGACCTGGTTGAGGGCGTTCTCGACCACTGAGGGGGGGAAGTTACAGTCCTTGAAAAACGAGGACAACTGAGATGTACGGGAGTGGAATGCCTCATCCTGGGAGCAGATGCGGCGAAGGCGAAGGCGAAGGAATTGGGAATAGGGGATAGCATTTTTGCAGGAAGGTGGGTGGGAGGAGGAGTATTCTAGGTAGCTGTGGGAGTCGGTGGGCTTGAAATGAATATCGGTTTCCAGGTGGTTGCCCGATATGGAGACAGAGAGGTCCAGGAAGGGGAGAAAAGTATTCGAGATGGTCCAGGTGAACTTAAGGTTGGGGTGGAAGGTGTTGGTGAAGTGTATGAACTGTTCGAGCTCCTCGTGGGAGCACGAGGCGGCGCCGATACAGTCATCAATGTAACGGAGGAAGAGGTGGGGCTTAGGGCCGGTGTAGGTACGGAAGAGGGATTGTTCCATGTAACCTACGAAGAGGCAGGCGTAGCTTGGGCCCATGGCCACCCCCTTTGTCTGTAGGAAGTGGGAGGAATTGAAAGAGAAGTTGTTGAGGGTGAGGACGAGTTCAGCGAAGGGGATGAGGGTGTCAGTGGAGGGGGACTGGTCAGGCCTGCGGGACAGGAAGAAGCGGAGGGCCTTTAGGCCATCTGTATGGGGAATGCAGGTGTAGAGGGACTGGACGTCCATGGTAAAGATGAGGTGTTGGGGACCGGGGAATTGGAAGTTCTGGAGGAGGTGGAGGGCGTGGGTGGTGTCACAGACATAGGTAGGGAGTCCCTGGACCAAGGGGGAGAAAATGGAGTCCAGATAGTTGGAGATCAGTTCGGTGGGGCAGGAGCAGGTGGAGACAATGGGTCGACCAGGGCATTCAGATTTGTGGATTTTGGGAAGGAGATAGAAGCGGGCGGTGCGGGGTTGGGGAACGATGAGGTTGGAGGCCGTGGGTGGGAGGTCACCTGAGGTGATGAGGTTGTGGATGGTTTGGGAGATGATGGCTTGTTGCTCAGGGGTGGGGTCATGATCAAGGCGGCAGTAGGAGGAGGTGTCGGAGAGTTGACATCTGGCCTCGGCGATGTAGAGGTCAGTGCGCCATACTACAACTGCGCCTCCCTTGTCCGCGGGTTTTATGGTGAGGTTGGGATTGGAGCGGAGGGCTGCACGTTCTGCGGGGGAGAGGTTGGAGTGGGTGAGAGGGCTGGAGAGGTTGAGGCGATTGATGTCTCGACGGCAGTTGGAGATGAAGAGGTCGAGGGAGGGTAGGAGGCCTTGGGGTGGTGTCCAGGAGGAGGGGGTGTGTTGGAAGCAGGAGAAGGGGTCAGTAGAGGGAGGGTTAGGCTCGCCGTTGAAGTAAGCATGGAGGCGGAGGCGGTGGAAAAACTGCTCTGTGTCCAAGCGTGACCGGTATTCGTTGATCTGTGGGTGGAGGGGGACAAATGTGAGCCCTTTGCTGAGGACTGACCGTTCGTCCTCAGTAAGGGGGAGGTCTGGGGGGATGGTGAAGACTCGGCAGGGCTGGGTGCTATTGTCCCCTCTGGAGCTGTTGGCTGTGGAGGCGGTGGGCGGAGTTGCGTCGGCGTCAGCGGTGGGCGGAGTTGCGTCGGCGGTGGGCAGAGTTGCATCCGCGTCGGTGATGGGCGGAGCAGCGTCGGCGGTGTGGGGAGCGGGGTAGGCGGCGGCAGTAGCGGTGACGGTAGTCACGACTTCAGTGTCGGTGGTGTTGGTCTCGGAAATGGAGGCGGTGGCAACGGCAGCGATGGTGTTCACTGTGCCGGAAGTGGGGAACCTGGCGGTGGCGGATGTGACGTCATCTGTGGGTTCTCCGATAGTGGCCTCATAGCCAATGGCGCCGGGCCCATTGTGGGGAAGGTCCTGGGTACGGCTGGGGATTTGCGGGGTGGAGGAAGCCTGTTTTGGGTGGTAGGCACCAGTAAGTTTACTGTACTTACGGTTTTTAGTGTCCAATAAAGCTGAGTAGAATTGTGAGTTCAGGTTGTGGATCCTACGAAGAATAAAAAACAGGAGAGGTCCTTTGCAGGTTTGGGAGAGGGAGGCTCTGAGCTGGGGTAGGCTTGATTGTAGTGCCTGGAGATGCCGGCGCATTGCTGCAAGTGTGTGTTTCAGGACTCGCAGGGAGAAACGCTTCTGAAGGATCTCAATGCCATGAGTGTAGATATTGTCACGGTTGGGGCCAAATTGGGAAGGCTTGAATGTGGATTGTAGTCCATTGGGGATGATCTGGTTCCGTAGGCAGGTGCTAAGAAAGGTGATGTGGCTGTAGTACCTGGTTTGCTTCAGGACATGGTCAAGCAGTTTCAGGGCTGAAGAGATTACGAGAGAGTTAGTGAGAGAGAGATCCCCTGAGGTTTGTCCGGAGGGAGGAGGGTAACTTCTTCAGGCTTGGCATCCTTAGAGGCTCAGATTTGTCTCAGATTCTCCAGCATCTGCAGTTCCTACTATCTCTGATTCAATTTTATCCCTGCCTATTGAGTCTCTCTTCTTAGCGAAGACGCTCATGCGATATCCTGGTGAATCTCCTCTGCACATT